TAAGATTTTAGGGACTAGGGAAGTACAGTCCGAAGTGGAGGAGGAAGTGAGAACGCTGTGAAAGATGGGTTGGAGGAAGTAGCCAGTTATCTGTGACAAAAGGTTACCGAGGGCACTGAAAGCCAAAGTGTATAAGACTGGTGCTCCTCTACTAAGCAAAGACCTAAACCCCGAAGAAGAAAGTTGTGTTGATAAGAACAGATACGAGATGGCTGTTAGGAGTATTGCTGAAGAAAAGAAAAGAATGAATAAGGAAACAGATGGAATAGAAGAAAAGGTAAGAGAGGATAAGGCTGAGGTGGTTCGGTCACGTGAAGAGAAGAACAAGTAATAAGGACCATTAGAGCTGCCGGCAACAGAAGACAGGGAGGACCAGTAGTGTTAGAAGAAGATGTGAATGAAAAAGGAACTGCAGAAGACCTGGCACTGAACAGAGATGATTGGAGGAGGGCAACATATGTGAAAGACAGCAACCTCTGCTAAAGGAAAATGAAGTATCATACTTGTGGACACAAAGTACAAAAGCAACAACTGAAAAGCATGATTAACTAAAACACAGTGACATGTATACGACAATGATCTGATGATTAAAATTACAGTCAGAAAAAGTTGACATTTAAGTATAGTCAAGGGGTTGACATAAGACAAAAGCAATGCTCTCCCATTAAAAGTTTTAGCCCTCAGAAGGATTTTGGTCTCTTAAACTGAACTTTTCCCGAGTATACAAATATTTGATATTTTCAAGCTTAATGGCTAAACAGCCAAGTACGAGACCTCAAGGTTCATTCATAATAAGCAATAACTCATAACTTCTTGTTTATTACATTCATATTACTTATAACTAAATATAAGAATTACAGGTAAAACAGTGAATTTAAAACATAAAGCAAGAATAGATCTATAGCAACACAATGTACACAACTACATAGATATCAAAATCTGGAGACAGCTTGAATAGGTAGTGAAGAAACTTTACTGTAAATGTACATTTCAACAAGTTTGTTATCATGATGATGGCATAAGCTTGTTGAAAAAAAAAGTGGCATTTGTAGTAAAGTTCACTACCCATTCAAGTCATTTCGAACTTTATTTTCTAAAAAGTGGGTTCCTAATAAACGTTATACAGATATTAACTTGTATATCTACAAATCTTATTGTCCATATCTAATATATTTTACTTTTAGCACATGAATTATATATCCGACAGTACCTGAACTAAACCACTGGCAAATGCATAACCAATCATTGCTACTGTGGCAAATAGCCCAGCAAACAACCAGTTCTGCCACTTGTACGGGAAATCCAGATCTTCTTGAGAAGTGTTTGCTGTTTCCTGCTTATTTCTTTGAGCTTCCATTTCTACATAACAAAAAAAAAATGCAAAAGTTCACATGTTTGTTGTATTG